CTCAGGTGTTACATGTCAAGCTCAGTTTATTAACATCCACATTAGTAATCATTCAGAGGACAGCTCTAAGGATAATGAGACAGTATAAGTCTCTACATATCATCTCTATTGTTCAGTCAGTAACAGTGACAGGAGATGAGTGCCAGAGTGGAGACAAATAGACTATAAAACAGAGAACATCAACTCTCCTCGCCCACCCGCACTTGCAGACACACATCCCATCTCTCTCTCATATATATATATATTTCCTACCATCCCCCGTCTGTTTACCGTACACACTTTGTTGTGCTACAATTAACCTTTGACCCAGAGCGCCAATCCTGCTTTTGTCACAGCAACAAGCCGGCCAAGGATGACCAGTTTACCTGTGTCTATTAGTCGATACAAATTTTACGTTTGGTTATAGAATAATTACTTGTAGGGTTTAACATCTTTACAAATGGTGTGGGTTATTTAGAGCACAAACTATTTAGTCTGTACCGGGGAAGGTCTAAGGTTCGGATCCTGATCTCTGGACATCAAGAACGGTCGAACTCTGTGCGATCACACAGCTGATTCTGCCCTTCCTGCAGCAGTGACCAACTTTTAAAAGACATCATTTATGGTACTCGTAAACTATAATCAACTTACCCAAGCTAAGGAAATGTTTTAGACACCACAGGCCGCCTCCTCAAAGCATAGATGTACGAGGCACATTCGAGAACATCTGTTCTTCTAGGCAGTCAGGCAGAAAATGCCCGCTTCAAACTACGTTTAGCGTCACTAGGAAAGAAGTTCCTTGTATTCCTGAACAAGGAGTACACCGGTTGAATAGAATTTCTAAATAAAATACCATAATTCGCCAACCTACAGTTGCTAGTTTGAAAATGAAGATATGTCAAAGCAACTAGAAGGTCTAGAAAGGATCATTTTACCAGATAAAGGTATAGATCAATATAAGGGACTATATACCTTTCCGGACGGGTCTAAGTTTGAAATCTTGCTGAGCGCGAGGGATATCAAGTCCCGACTCGCCCACTGTGTACGGTGGCTGCTCATCTCATGACAGCATGGATTGGTTTGCACTCACTAACCCATATTGTGGTAAAATATATACGATTAATATTCATTCCTTTCCACTTACTTATATGTCTGCGCTCAAGCAAACCACAGATACTACAGCTTTATAATATGGTATTTCATTCTGAGTTTTAATAGGAATGTACCTATAATTGTTAATTTGTTGTATTGCAAAATGGGACCTCGGATTTCTATTAAAATGTACAAGATATTCCTCTTTACTCTGGGACAGAAGTGTGTGTACAACAAGAAGGGAATGAAACCAGGCAAAGTTTCAACGATATTTTATTTGTTTTTAACTTCCCTTGGTTAAATATCAAAAAAAAAAAAAGCTTTCTTCGTAATATATGTAGCACATTATCATATATTTCTTTTTTTTTAATGACATGGGGGAGGGGGGGGGGGGGGGGGGCTTTTTTTCCCAGCCAGGATGGCACTGGAGATATTATTTGACTCAGTTCGTCTGTATTACATTTTCTTCGATTTTCCCCTGACTGCCTGAGCAGTCCTTTGACCACACTGAGCTCAGTGTGGCTACCCCATCCCACACGCTCTCGAATCATAGGAGCTATAACTTGCTCTGTGCTCTCTCACTCTCTCTCTCTCCCCATTTTCTACCCCTCTCTTTTCACCCCCACCCCCACCCCATTTTCTTTTCACTGACCCCTACTGCTCATCTACACTTGTCTCATATACACCCTTCTTAATTCAACTGTTTTGTGTTTTCGTTCGTCGTCAGCTTCAAACTCAGCGGGAAAACACTTTCTGTTCATCCACTTATGGACTTTGGCAATATCCCAGACCTAAGACCGTTTTACAGAATTATGCAGTATGTTATTTATGTATCTATTAGCCAGATGCACTCCAACTTCGAAGTATATTCATTCAATTCAGTCCCTCTAACTGAATCCACCTGTTTCTAGTTAAGCATGCCCCCCGGCGTTGGTATGACATAGTCCCCGCACATGTGTCCAATATGGAGCCATTTTATACCTGAACTGTTGATCGTTTCCCGTGATACAGTCTTGTTTACAATGTCTACTGGTCGGCATAAACAACTATTATTCACACCTCACTGAATTCTTATATTGCATATCCCAAGAGTATCAATTGCTTTCCAACACTGACAGATCTCAGGCGGCATACATCTAAACCCTCCCACGCCGGCATGATCTCAGGTAGCATGCATCTAAACTCTCCCACATCGGCATGATCTCAGGTAGCATGCATCTTAACTCTCCCACACTAGCATGATCTCGGGTAGCATGCATCTAAACTCTCTCATAGCTGCATGATCTCTGGCGTCATGCATTTAAATTCTCCCACACTGGCATCATTACAGGTAGCATGCATCTAAACTCTCCCACACTAGCATGATCTCAGGTAGCATGCATCTAAACTCTCTCATACCTGCATGATCTCAGGTAGCATGCATCTTAACTCTCCCACACCGGCACGATTTCAGCCAGCTTGTATCTAAACTCTCCCATACCGGTATGATCTCAGGTAGTATGTATCTAAACACTCCCACACTGGCATGATCACAGGTAGCATGCATCTAACCCCTGACTGCTATTTTTGTGAGTGTGCGTGCTGTTTATCCCCTCCGGGGTGTGACCTAAAAAGTTTGATACCCAGAGTTCACACGACTTCAGTGCTGACGGCAGGCCAACAGGACCTCAAGATCTAACACCTAGAGACTAAAGAATACCACTGCTGATAACAACCAACAGGACCTCAAGGTTTGACACCAAGATGCAAAAGAATCTCAGTGCAGATCGCAGACCAACAAGATCTCAAGGTTTGTCACGGAGAGACTAAAAATTCTCAATGCTAATAGTAGACCACCAGGACCTCAAGGTTTGACAAAGAGAGGCAAAAGAATCTCAATGCTGTTGGCAGACCAACAGGAACTCATGGTTTGACACTGAGAGACTAAAGAATCTCAGTGCTGATGGTAGACCAACAGGACCTCAATGCTTGACACCGAGATGCAAAAGAATCTCAGTGCTGATGGCAGATCATTAGGACCTCAAGGTTTGGCAACGAGAGACTAAAGAATTTCAGTGCGGACAAGACAAGCCAAAGATAACTCGTTTAACGTTTAGTTTAGTTATAATTTCGACACCGGTAGCCGCCATACCTGCCGGTGTAACTTACGGTTTTGTCCAGGTAAGGGTGTAATTTATATTTTCGACTAGCTTTTCTTTATTTAATATTTGTCGCCGTCTGTGGCTTGAAAACTTGCTTTGTAATAAAAAACAAAATACCTAGTTCAATTCCAGCTACATGCGATTTGGTAGAAGACAACTTTGGGTTTATTTCACAATCTATATTGAGATATGGCCGCTCAGAAGGCAATGGCAAACTTACTTGATTAGTCGCTCCTCTTCGACCATGAAGTTTAGAGGCTTGTCAGAGGTATCGCCAGACTTATCTGTCGGTAGTTTTTTTTTTTTTTTTTTTGGCTTTGTTTCTTTCCAGTCCTCTGTCAGTCAGGAACTGTCGGATGCTGTCTTCCCAGAGAACCCTGTGTGCCCCTGGTGGTGAGCTGTTGTCATTGTCCATGACTTAAACCCGTAGGTCAGAACTGGTACATAGGTAATGTGGTTACACCCATTTTCATCTTCTTGCCAATTTCTCTTTTGCTGAGAAACCCTCGGTGTATGACCTGCAAAAGTCTCTCAGCAGCTACTTTGAGAGTAGCCAGCTCTGCCTTAATGCCTCCATTCAGTGTATTACAGCTCCAAGGTATTTGAACAGTTTGACCTTTCTCCAATGCATACTATCACGTCGTCGTCTGGTGTTTCTTCTCCTTTCTTAAGATCCCCATGGTTTTAGTTTTGGACATACTGGTTGTAATTCCTTTTTTCTCAAGCTCTTCCTTTCAAACAAGTAAATTGGCTTGAAGATGTATCTCTGATATAGCTATCATGGCCGTGTCATCCGCAAATGCCTGCTCTAATTTACAGATTGGTCTCATATTTCAGAACTCTACTGAGTACTTCTTTGTCGTCTCCTGACACGTCTTGTTGACATCATTGATCATAAGAATAAAGAGTTAGAAGGTGAGAGAATATTCCCTTGTGGTCTTGAAATCTTTGGTCTGCTGTTCTTATATAATTTCTGCAGCTTTTGTAGAAACCGAATTGTAGTGATCAGGACTGCTGGAAAGTTTTACCCTGTCAAGCAGTCTCAGAGACAACTCCAAGGAACCCTTTCAAACGCAACATTGGAGCATCTCATTCTTATATTCAAGGGCTTTTTTTCACTCTTCTTTCTGAGATGAGAAGAGACTTGAGTACTTTGATTTGCTCTGAAGCCGCATTAGGCCTGATCCAGCTGTGCTTCTGTTACATTTCTCGGTCTCTGCTCAAGAATTCGAGAGTAACTTTTTCCTGGAGCGCCGGGGAGAGATATGCCTCTGTAGTTTTCACATTGTCCGCTATCACCATTTTAAAATATAGGTATAAATATGGCATTCTCCGAATGTTTTGGTAAGTTTTACTACCTCACGCTGTCTGGAGAACCTTCAGAAGAAGTCGCTCACCATCGTCTCACATATGTTTGACCATCTCTGGTGATATTTCATCATGGCCTGCAACTTTTTTTTCAGTTTTATCTTCTCAAAAGCTGCCTTCAATTCTTCTTTCCTGGCGTTATCATCCCCATGGATGTTTTCCTTCTTTGTAGTGAGGTCCGTTATTTCTGGAAAATAACTTTCATCAACACCGAGAAGCTGTGAGAAGTATTCTTTCCATCTGTCTTGTATGAATTTCAGCCAGTGGCAAACTACTGAATATACAAAATACTTGCAAAACAACAAACAGCCAAAGAATGCTGGCGTTGATGCGCTGCATTCCAAAAAGGACATGTAATAATTTTTATAGAAGTTTAATCTACCTAGTGTAAATTAATTCTTTATTTTTCGTTTTTCACAGAAAACCCAACAACAGGCCACATGCAGTGCGAGGAACGTTCGTCTCTCTGCTACTGAAGCTTATGGTTAAGTCATCGTATCACTGTGTATCTTTTCATAAAGGATCCTTTTTTTATGTCTGCCTCTCTGTCTGTGTGTCTGCCTGCCTGTCTGTCCGCCTCTCTATCCACTTATTTGTCCGCGTGTCTGGCTTCTGCCTGTCTCTTCCTCTCGCTCTCTCTCTCTTTGTATGTGTTTATCTCTGTGTGTGTGTGTGTATTTGTGTGTGTGTGTGCGCGCGTGCATTCACTCGTGAGACTGGACTTGTGTCTTTCTTGTCTTTTTCGACGTCTTATTTTGCGACCATTATTTACATAGTACTTTGTGTGAGTCCTTCCTATATCAATTCTCCTTTCCATCACTCATTTCTTTTTTTTTTTTTTTTTTGGCCTTTCATTTCATTCTCATGGTTATAATACATTATATATATATATATATATATATATATATATTTAGAGAGAGAGAGAGAGAGAGCGGGAGTTGTTAATGGGGATATTAGTACAACGTATTTAGTAGAAGACCCTTTCACGAATTCCGCTTATCTGGCGCATAGCGTCAAACCTATAGTTATAACAGACTAATCGGCATGGTCAATATCATTTAGGCCGCCTTTACTTTTCAGGGAAATACCTGGTACCCATTATCGGCTGGGTCAGTCTAGGAGCAAAGGTCAATTTTGATGAAGATTAGACCCCAACACCTTTTTACCTTCATTCAAGTTTCAAACCGCTACAATGCTTCGACTGACGTTCAACCCCCACCAGGAGATCATTCCAAGCTATAAACATCTGGTGACACAAAGTGCCACTATTAGGATGAAGATCACCGGGATACAGGTACCAGAAACTTCGCTCAACCCATAAGTTTGGTTATAATAGGCCCCTGCGACAGCCGGAGTGGGACTTTAAAATAAAGAACAAGTTGTGTTTCATATTGAGACGGTATCTTGGGAGGTAAGTATCTGCTTCGGCTTGCGAGAGAAGGATTAATATTGAAGAATAACTTTTTAATTCCGAGGCTAGCACCTCGCCCACCCAACGTGGAACTAATCAAAGAAAAAATAATTCTGCGATCATATGCTCCGGTCGCCTTAACGCTTGCAAACTGGTTCTTCACCTAACTTACTTACTGGTTGGTAGCTGTGAGTAGCAACATGGTCCTCGAGTTCAGAGTAATAGGTGGGGGGAAAAGCATGGTTTACCTGTTAACGTTAATATTTTCTCTCTCTCTCTCTCTCTCTCTCTCTCTCTCTCTCTCTCTCTCTCTCTCTCTCTCTCTCTTTTCTATCTCTCTCTCTCTCGCTTACTCTCCCTCTCATCCCGTCTCTTTCTTTCTTTCACACAACCCACCCACACACAACTACACACATTTCTTTCATTTTTTTTTATGTCTGTCTTCCCAGGAACTAGGTACTGCCTAAAATAGAACAATTTCTGCTTCTGTTTGAGTAACACAGCAGGCGTTTTATAATTATGTGGCATATTTCAGTAATAATTATTTATGTTAAAATTAGTGTGTAGGAGAAATTGTGTAGGCAATCTTGCTGACGTCTATAGAAAATGGTGTCCCATTTTTTGTTATCTTAATCAGTTAGAATCCTTACCTGTTCAAGGCTAAAGGTTACACTAGTAGAATTCGGTGTAGCCTTTCTGTGTGGCCTAATTATATCTTCTCTGGAGATGGAACCGGTATATAGATTTTGTTCCTGTTAGTTTACCATCCCAGGATGAGATTCTCATAGACTCATAGGTAGTCAGATATCCAGGTGGTAATTAAAAACGGAAAATAAACAGATTACATGTTTAGTACACAATAAAATTCATCACAAACCATTTGATCTGTTGTCTTTTTATGTTATTTAATCCCTTCTTTCCTGACATCGTCATTTCTGACCACGTCTCTTGTAGCTGCATTCACCATTAACATCTCATTTCGGTTGTTTCGATTTTTCTGTTGTCTTTTGTTTTGTTAAAGTCCACATTCTGCACTGGACTGGTCGGTCATTGCAAATATGGGTCCAGCAACAGGTACTTGATGAGCCAGCAAACGTAGAGGGTCTTTAACTATTATTTTGACATCTATAGCAACCTTATACAATCTTGCCTTGATGGGAGTATCAATCAGCAAACCAACAGATAGACATTTTTAGATATTCCCAGGGCATATTTTCTGGCAGTAGGCAACGTAACGGATGTGAATCGTGGGCTATCTTCCAGTCCTTAAGAAAGAGAGAATTGTGGCTTTTGAGCTGAAATGCTTTAGAAAGATTCTCAAAATATCTTTGTCAAAGAAGAGGAGAAACACTGACATCTCGAAAGATCTGAACATCAAGGAAGATTGGCTAATAAACAGCATCCTTTCTCGAAAGCTGAAATATTTTAGTCATATCAAGCGCCACAACGAATTGGAAAAAATTATAACAGAAGGCATGATACCAGGAAGGAGAGGCAGGGGCCGAGCCACACGAAGATGGGCACAGGATATAGTTGACTCCTTGAGTATGAAAGTGTATGAGGCAGGAAAGCTGGCGAGAGATTAAGTTTCTTTCAGGCAGACCGTGATGAGAGCGACGTTCTGCAAAGGACCTGCTACATGACGATGATGAGGCAACATTATGAATATCGGCACCTTTTTCAGGTATCAATTTTTGAGTGCTACTATAATAGACGCCAGACCCCTCCACCCCCCCCCCCCCTCCCTGTGGTGTAGCGCCTGGATGCTCGCCTGTGGATCAGAGTTTCATGGGTTCAAGTCCGAAAGGAATCGGATTTTTGTTTTGTTGCAAAAAATGACCTTGACTGCCAGGTCTTCAAAAATGACCTTGACTGCTAGGTCAACCCAGCCTTGAGTGTGAACTAGGCGAGGGCCGGGAAGTAAAGGCGGGTGGCGTGATGTTGACCACATCACCCACTGAGTGATGATTGGTCTAGAAAATATAGGCCTAGCACTATACTTCCAATACACTTGAGGACATAGAACAAGGTCCTTTTTACTTTCCCTGTAATAGACACTTTATGGTGAGTACCGGCACCTTTTTAGACACTCTTTGGGGAGTACTGGCCTTGTCTAAAAAAAAAAAAAAAAAGATATTAAATAACAGAAGAACACCTGTCCCAGTACGTCTTTAGAGGGAGAGGCGGACACATTTGGAGACACAAAGAAGCTAACCGTAACAGTGACGACGACACGTGATTGATTAGCTCTCCTCACAGAAACTTGCGTGGCATTACAGTGAGCGTATAACGCCTGGGCTTGTGTGAATGAGAGAGACGGGCTTCTTTCCCGTAGACCCGTGGAATCGATACGCTAACAAAAACACGCAGACACTGGAACTCATAGAACGACTAGGCCGACCGGTTGCTGGGCACACGGCATGCTGCACTGGAAACAGTGGTGATTCAGACGCTGACCTCAGCCAAGTGCGCCAAGGGTAAGCGAGGTCAATGGAGTTAGCTGATCACAGGCGCTGAATGTTTAGGGGACTGAGGCCAAGTATCCCCCCTTCCCCACCCCTCCAGAAAAGAAAACTTAGGGGCGAACTGAGACCACCCCACCTAGGCCCTCCCTCTCCCTCCCATATCTATTTATACCTTTTTATTTTATTTTAGTAAATAAAGGTCCCTTTTCCATGCCTTTAGGCTATAGGGCATATAGGGCTACTCACTAAAGGCTCGGTCGACCTTGGAGCGGTCATTTTTGAAAAAAGTCCGACTCCATCTGGGAGCGAACCCACTACCTTCCAATCCGCGGCAAGCGTCTAGCCGCTCCGCTACTGCGACTCCCATTTTTTGGGGTAGTAGGAAAACAAAACCTTAGAAATTGTGGCAGTGGTGGTGATATTTACCACAAAAACTACCCATCCAGTGAAAGTTAATCTGTAAAATCAAAAAACTGACACTTTACTTCCTGTACGACTTGATAAGTGGAAACCGTCCTATACTTTTTTTTTCGTATATTCTCTTTTAGTGTTTGTGGAAATTGTTCCTTTGTTATGCTCTTTCATTTTGATCCGAGAATGAGCTTCCAAACTTTCGTAACTGATATTCTCCCAAAACCTGCATTAAAAAAGGGCTGTCTCCGCGAAAACAGTTTAAAGATACAATTTGATTGTGACAGACAGAACAGAATATCAATATTAAAAATAAAAACAAACTACAGAATAAGACAGATGTGGCAAACTTGAACTGTGATGTGCACAATAAATCTGCCACAGCAGCGACAACAACGACACGTATTGATCGTCTGACTAGTACCGCCCGTGCTACCTGTGAGTATCTCACGCGATACGACTGCGCTCCTTCTGTGCTATCTTCATGTAGGCTCTGATCAATACTCGTGTACAACCCGGCTAAAACCTGGGGGTTTGCGTTGTGTAGTTGTAGCTCCTTAAATCTACTGCAACTGTCGGTTTCGTTTGTTATTTTAACTTCTTTGGAGATTATTTTTGACCTAATTGCTCTGAGCTACTTGCGGTTTCTTGCTTTATTTCTACATTGATGGAGTACTTCTTGTGTGTGTAACAATCCCGTCTTGTTTTGTTATACTGGGGTCTTGTTTAATCATTTGCCAGTGTCTGCATTTTACAGTCGCTTATTTATAAAGCGTAAGTAATTTTAACAGCTTTGATAGTGAACTGACTTCAAGTGTACTATGTGATAATAAAACTTATTTTTACAATTTGTTTATGTGTGTTCTTTCCACAGACATAGATCTTGAGCATCGGGACATGATGATGAAAGCTCTACGGTTTTACACTCAGTATTGCAGACATGAAGGGAGTACTCATTGTATGGAATGCTATGAAAGTTACCGAGCAAGGAAAGAACCGTTTGGTGCAATACCAGCTTTTAACTTGTGTAGGAGTCGTTCCTGTGGTGGCAGCACACCCTCGCGTGAATCCACTAGAATTTCCAGATGTGTGAAAATGGCACAGTGTCGGCTGAGATTTTACGACGATGTCGATAAAGCATCTTGTGAGGATTTGTCTGCCAGCCAAAAGACTGCACCATTACCTTACAGTAAACCACTGCTTTATGCATTAGAGGACGGGGACGGAGTGTTAGCTGACGCCTTGGGTCACACGTACAGGTCTACACAGACACGCCCCTGGTCTGTGTTGCCAGGGACGCTGTGTGATGATTGCAAACGGAGTTACTACAGACTGTGTAATAATTGTGGCAGGAGGTAGTTATACAGTAGACGCAAAATACTTAGCCTCATTCTGCAACACAAATTATCACCACCACCACCACCATCACCACCATTACTGCTACCATCACCACAACCACCACCAAGAGCACGACTACTACTACCACCGTACTCATTATTACTACTACCACCACCACTATTACTACCATTACCACCATGATCACTGTTGCACTAACACTTAGATCACTGTTTGACTACTGATGTTATCACCATCAGCAACATTGCTGCTACTATCTTCATTAATACTACTTTTACCAAATCAACAACAACAACAACAATTATTAATACTATCGGAATTTAGTCAATCAATCCCTAAGCGCCCCCGGAGGCACATAAAGCAAAGACAAACTGCCCCACTCAGTTCGATCCTGAGTCATTCTCTGTATCTCCAGTCTTGTCCTTCGCGTAGCCTTAAGTTCAGCTTCAAAGGTTCGCCTCCAAGTGCCTTGGACCTGCCTCTTCCTCGCTGTCCTTGTGGTGTCCATTGCATTGCCTGTCTCGGCCATTTCTCTCTTTTTTTTTTTTCATTCTGAGGACGTGTCTAATTCACCTCCATCTTCATTTTTATTTTTATTGTACCGGAATTACTACTGTCAAAACATAAGTATGACTACCAATATCATTATCAGCTTACTATCACAACAACCACCATAGCTGCATCCACTACAACAACAATAACTACTACTACTACTAGTCCATCTCTAGTAGTAGTAGTAGCAGCAGCAGCAGCAGCATCGGCAGTAAAAACAGTACTAGTTAGTAATATAGCAGTAGTAGAATTACTATCTTTCTGAGTGTCATTGTTTATAAGAAAACTCAATGAAGCCATTCTCTCTGATCTCTAGATAATTGATCTGATGTCTTATAATCTCGGATACAGAAACAATTGATAATAGGCGCCTACCTGCTCAGACTAAACATGATTTAGCAGTTGGAAATTATAACCATGCTGGCCCCTCACAATTTCATTATTGATTCGAACAACATAACCACAGCCAGATGACTGTAATCGGCCGGTCAGTCAGTCAGAATGTTAGTTAGTCGGCTAGTCAGTCAGTCAGTCTCTTACTCAGTAAGTTAATCTGACATCAACTTTAGTCAGGCAATCATCAGTCACTTAGTCTTTCGATTAACCAACCGGTTAATCAGTCAGTCAGCCAATCATTTACTTCGGAAATTTTCTTTAGGGTATGCAGATGTACTAGTAAACGAACCGGTAGATATGTTGGTGGACAGACTGACAGATAGATTGACTTTGTAGAAGAATGGTGTATGACAAGATGGATGCAGTCAACACCCTTTGGGAGCAAGTGAAACGTTTGCTCGAACAGATCACGGTCTTAACAGTAGTACAACAGACAGTACCAAGAGATGTGGCTGACACTCAATACTTTACTGGAACCCTTAGAGTTGGAACTCTGCGCTTATGGAAATTTCCAGCAGGCTGTGATATCGCTTCCTAACTCAGCCCAACTGAAATTATTACGTTAATACTGAGTTTAGTATCATTTTTACAGTTGCATTGTTATTCATGATCACAAAGATAAAGAACAGAATAGGACAAGATAAAACTGCATTTTACACAGACACACACACACACACACACACACACACACACACACACACACACACAAAGAACATGTTATGCAATAAATCCATATCATTGGAGGCTAGGAAAAGTATTCTCGCATGCTATTTAGAGCCAGTTTTAACATGCGACAATGAAGCCTGGACAATAACTAAACAAGCCGGAGAATCCTTAGAATTCCTTGGACAGCTAAGAAGAACCAGCCCGATTTTTTTTTTTTTTTTTGGTCGTGTTATGAGAAGAGAAAAAATGGAACATGTTGGATAGTTATATGGAAAGAGAGACAGAGCAAGACATCGTGAGAAGTTTCTTTACAGTCTTTTCTCATGGCATGAAGAGATGTCAGCACGCTAAATGATACACGCAGCTGCGGATCGCAGATTGTAGAGAGGCATGATCGCCCACGCTAGTAGGCAAGGCACTTGATGATGATGGTTATTATACAGTTAACTCTTAAGCACTACTTCCCGCTCATAGACGTAGACAGTCAGTGTTTTGAACAATTGACGAGAATAAACGGACTCTAGAATTTGCTTACAGCTGAAAATACTGGTGGAAAAAAAGATGCAAGCAAAGAAAAATAGGAATAAACTCACAGGGAGCAAGTACAGCAGGGATCTACCAGTCATCAGTACAAGTTATCCTCGTCGTGAAACGTTTCGGCCCACGATCTCCTAGACGTTTTCAGAGGTGGGCCCACCTGAGTTCATGAAGCTCAGGGCTGGTACCCTGCTGCACGAAATTACCGGATGGTGTTTTCTTTCGGACAGGGACAAGACGACTTGGTGGTTCTGCTGAAGGTACTGTGAGATAAGAAGCCGCCGCGGTAGCCTAATTAGAACAGTCAGCATACCTGGACGACCGAGCGACAAGCTTACGATTGGTTTACCGGACACATGTTGGACTTTTGTTAGCAGGTGGCAGAGAGACACTGGCAGACAATTCGGACACGATGAATTTTCAGGGGGTGAGAAACCCTTTTCCTCTAGACACCCGGACCAGCTCACCGAGGCCCGTCCCCTACGTTGTTTCGTTGCGTCTAAAGTCAGCTCGAGGCCCTCTCGGCTACCTCGCCCAGTTTTTTAAGTGTTCGTTTCCGTTCATTACCGCGCAATCCTAGTTCTTTAATCACATTGTACAGTGAAGTGGAGACGAGACCTCTCGCTCCCACTTCGACGGCAAAGACACGTACTGTGTACGCCTCGTTTCTCCTCAGACCGGCTGCTAAATCACAGTACTTCTCGAGCTTGTACGTTTGATTTTCATCCATACGCGACTCATACGGGACGGTCAGCTCAATCAGGATAAGCTGCCGTTTCTCCGCCGAGTGGAGAACTATGTCAGGTCGCATGCCGGTCTTCCGGATTAACTCAGGATACCTTTCATGGCCTGGCAGATCAACCGCCAGTAACCAGTCCCTCGCAGAGTCTAGCACAGATGGAGCGAATGCGTTTCGGTTGAACTTACCTTTTTGAATCTGCCCAGCGTTGAGGAAACGAATGGGGACGATGGTAGAACTGGCTCTGGCGTTAGCCCTCATTCTAGCTTGGTCAACAACGGCAGCTAACTCTTTTAGCACCTTGTTGTGTCGCCAGGTGTATCGGCCTTGGCCTAGGGCTTTCCTGCACGCGGACAGGCCGTGTTCTAGCGTCTGCTTCGCTTTACACAGCGGGCAAGTCGGATCGTTGGTCGCAGACCACTTAAACATGTCAACACCGGACGGTAATACATCGTACGCCGAGCGAACGATAAAGCTCAGTCGCAACGGGGTCATTCGCCAGATCTGACCCCATGTGAGTATTCTTGGCAATCCGCTCTCCAGGCTGACCCAATGGCCCTGCTGCGACTGCTGGGCCGCTTTCTGGACCCGAACCTCGTTTTCGTTGTCCCTCACCTGTTGTATTACCATGTCTCGGCGTTTTTTGGCTGAGGCCTTTGACCACCAATTGACCTTCCCGTGCCCTAGGCCTCGACGGTCGGTTTGAGTGTCTCCCATTATCTCTCTCAATTTTAGTGTGTTCTGCGCAGATTCAATCGCATCGAGGACTCTCCACTTCTGCCCAGTCTTGAGAGCGGGCTGGACAGCGATGAAATTTGGGTCTGAAGACTCGCGCAAGAGCATGGCGAGTCTTACTTTGCCAACTTTGAACTCTTCGGTTATCGATTTGAACGGGAGTACCAGCTTAGCCTGCTTGCAATACAGAGCCACGTCGGTCAGACAAGGTGGTGCACCAATCCACTTTCTCAAGGCTGTGTTGATTTTCCTCTCCATGGTTTCCACTGCAGTCATCGTCACCTCGTAGACTAACAGTGGCCAGAGGAGCTTTGGAATCAACATGAATTGGAGACACCATACCTTGAACTTCCAGACCAGCCTGCAACGCTCGATCGCGAGCAGGCCTGTAGCCAGTGACTCGTGTATTCGCCGGACCTCCGCTCTATCAAATAACTTCGAATCGTAAACGCGACCAAGGCTCTTCACCGGTTCCTCCAGAACCGTGGGGATATTGTTCCTTGCCACCGTAAAACTGGTTGCCGACACCTTGCCCTTAAGGATTGACAGACTCCTCGACTTCTGCGGTTTGAACTGCATACCGTTCCATGGGACCACCGCGTTCAATCTTTTCAGGATCGTGCGAGCAGACTCCTCGCTGCCCGTTATAATAGTCTTGTCATCCATAAATGCGCGTAGTGGCGGCATCCAGTGATCCCCTATTTGAAGGCCCTGTCCGAAGCCGGCCGCCCCGTCTACAAACAGTACTGATGAGATCGTACACCCCATAGCTATCCCAATTTGTAGCCCAGTAACCCTCGTGGTAAACGTCAAGGTAGAGAAGCGCAAAGCGAACTTAGAGAAATATTGCTCGATCATATCATTGACCTGTGCCGGTACGTGGAACATGCGAAGGGCTCGCCACAGTAGTCTATGGGGGACTGCCCCGTAGGCGTTGGCTAAGTCCGACCATATCACGTGCAATTCGGTTCTCTCATGCTTGGCTTTCTGAAAAGCCTCCCAAATCATGGTCGCGTGTTCAAGGCACCGAGTAACGCCCGGAATACCACCCTTCTGAACACTCGTATATATGTACTTGTTAGACATCAGATACTGTGTGAGCCGGCGAGCCATGACCGAGAAGAATATCTTACCCTCGACATTCAACAGCGAGATGGGTCTGAATTGGGAAAGACCTTTCGAGTCCTGCTCTTTGGGATGTAGATCCCATTCGCCTTTTGCCATTCTGGACATATTTGTTTACGGATCCACGCTTGTCTCAACAAGACGTGAAGCATTTTTAGGATTTTCGGGCAACGCTTGTAAAGAACGTACGGAACACCATTCGGACCTGGGGCAGACTTGCCGCTGGCCTTTTTAACAACTTCCTCAACCTCAGACCAAAGGGGAGGTATCATTTTAAATGGTACCTTCGGCAACTCAGGCTGCTTGAAGCCGCTAAGGATCTCTGGATTGTCATCGAGAGGCTCTATTCTCTTTTTTTTTTTTTCCAGAGTACATCTTGCGTAGATGTGACTCAAGCTCTTCGTGACTGACAACCAGAGTCTTAGACTTCGGTTGCTCGAATAGACCCCGAGCCAACTGATACGGGTCCCTAAAGAATTTCTCTCGCTCCCTTTTGGTTCTTCGTCTGTTGGTACAGAAACGCTCAGCGCGACAGAGGGCACTGTGTCTGTTCTTTAAATGCAACGAGACTTCATGCAGCCCCTCCCGTTCCCTGCCTGTAGCGGCTTTGAACCGTTTTCTGAGGGCATTCTTGTCTGCCTGTCACTTCAGAATGTCCCTCTGCCTCCTGCTAGTATTCTGCTTGGCACCCGGCTGTGCCTTCTGCACTGTCCCGAACTCATGGGAGCAGTGTTCATATATTACATCACCGAATTTTGTAAGCTTGTCGCCTAACGACTTCTTGTTTAAATTATAAATAAGTATCTCACTCAATGTACTCTCCAACTTACACCACACAACCTTATCGCTCGCAGGTGGAAACCTAATCTTGGAACGCACTTCCTCAGAAATCATCAAAGTGCTCCTCCGCAGTCGACGTCATGGGCCTCTCCGGGCGAGTGGGGTTCACCCTGCCCGTCGTTCCCTGACGACTCAGAAACTACCACAGGAGTAGTAGTTTTGCGACGGCGTTTACTGCGTGGAGCACCCTCGCATTTCATTCTTCCGGCATGCGTTCTCAGACCATGCAACCTCGTGAAGCTTTTCCCACATGTACAGAGCCAGCCCGGACGTTGGGCGAGTATCTGAGTCCGGGGGCTAGCATTGTCGTCACCGAGAGTATCAATTTGATTGGGCCCTTCATTCTCCCCCCCCCCCCTTTTCGGAGGGCCCTGGGGGCATATTTCTTTGTTAGTTAACGCAATCGGAGGTATTATACTGTGTTAAGGGTGATCAACCCGGTCCACAGTCGACATCTGTCTCCAGATGTCAGTTTATCCCCCCGGCGATACCGGGGCGCCAGTCTTTCCATATGTGTCACAAGGTCTTTCCCGAGAGTCACCATTCTTTCATGGTAGTCTTGTGGGCTAGCCACGTACAATAGAAATAAACTCACAGGGAGCAAGTACAGCAGGGATCTACCAGTCATCAGTAGAAGTTATCCTCGTCGAGAAACGTTTCGGCCAACGATCTCCTAGACGTTTTCAGAGGTGTGCCCACCTGAGTTCATGAAGCTCAAATAGATAATACCCAGATGGCTTGGCCATATGGTTGGGGTGAGACAGAAGCACTTACCCTGTTCGTGATTCTGGTGATCGTGTGAAATGGCGAAACATAGCCGCCTACTTCTTCTGCAGGGCACATGACGATTATGATTATGAATACATAGCAACTTAAAGATGTTTAGAGGGTAAAAATTATATATATGACATGACACACTGTTAAAACATATATTCTCATTCTTTGTTAGTTGGCGGCGTCCGTGGCTTAGGCGTTGCGTAATCCAACTTACCGCGATCGAAACCCACTGCTGGCTGCGTGGATTTTTATCGTGGTATGGGACGTCGCAGGTCGACCCAGCCTAAAATGGGTACCAGGATGGCTGTCCTGGGAAAGTAAAGACGGCCGGCGTAATGCTGACCACATTACCCACCGAGTGCCGATTGGTCTGTAAAAATATGGGTGCTCTTCCCATATGCCCGATGCGCCTAAGGGCGTGTAAAGGGATCTTTACTTTACTTTACTTTTTGCTTTTACTTTGTTATTTGGCATTCTCAGATTCCAGAAGACAGCCAGTGTAACCAGAAACAACAGCAACGATAGAAAGCTTCAAAGAAGTGATCTAAACGCCTCAAGCCAACTCAAGGTTGTAGCCCTTGCATTAACGGACAGCATGAGTCAGCCTATTCCGCGATCGGTTGCCTACCAACGGCGCAATCAGACTACACATTTATGGACAGACAGCAGTCATCTTATGAGTCGTAGTGTGCCGACTGCTAATTTCCTGCATCGGCACTTCAGCTCGACTGCTTCGTCGCCTAGATCTTCACTTGATGACAGTGAGAAAACCAGCAAAGCACGTCCAAGTTCCTCGTACTCTTACGACGGTGGGTTTTTTGTTGGTGCACATTCAGGTCAGGCGGAATACTTTGTGATACACCCAGACTGGGTGTCTGAAGCTATGACTGTCAAGAAAGCTTCTTTAGGCGACAAGAGACCTGGTTCTTCACTCAAAAGAAGTATTAGTCTTACCAGCAGAACGTTGCCGGAAGGAAGGAGATGCTTGAGTGCCCCGCCCAAACAACGGAATCCTATCACAATGGAACACGCAGAGAGACAATCGGCGGGAACAAAGTGTCAACAATAGTGATTTTATCATCTGTTCATTGAATCCACCAGAAAATAGCAAACCATCTATTATGACCTAGTAGATTCTGATTGTGCTTCTACTTCTCTTTCTGATGATAGTAGCGTATGTTGATGATATTATGTCTCCGCAATGCCTGCTTTATTTATTTTGCCCAATAGCACCCTTCTGGATGACTAGTGTCTCTTGGGGTCTGATTTAAAATTAACGCTGATTCCAGGATTATTAAACAGTTTATTAAGGTCGAGAAAAACACTTCATTACACTAGAATTTACCCCACTTTGAACGGCTAGCTGCCCACAGTGAACGTCTCACAAAGCAAAATCTCCGTAGCCCTATTGACCATTAAATGGGTCTCAGACGTGAACAAAACGAAGAAGTCCGTGAAATAAATGAAACGAACCCACGTCCATCAAAACGTGAGACAAGTGACTTAACCACTTAACCAGAAAGACCCCTGTCCATGGTTGTTACACCTCCAACACTCGCTGTCCATCGTCTGGCGATTTGATGGCTGCACATTGAGTTGATTTTTACTGTCTCAACAGGTGTCTGCTACACTGAAACTGCTATGTTATCTTTTGTACTGTATTAGCAGTTTTATATATAGATTGTGAAGTGTATAAAACTTGCGTCATCTACAGTGTATCGACATGGTAGCTCAAATTGATGGTCCACATATAGTACTTAATTGAGTCACCCTATCCTCAATCATCATCAATCCTTTCAACATTGTGTTGTTAGTTGCATATCCTTTACAGGACGTTTCAGAACCAACACCATCATTAGCTGTTGTGGTTTTTCTAGGCAAATTTACGTCCAGTAGTTTGCCAGTGCTCTCTGGATGGTCGGCTTCTCAATAACACTGTCTAACCCAACGCAAGGCGTAAGGCCCGCAGCTGGGATCGAACCTGGCACCTCGGCATTACGAAGCGCGTGCGCAACGCCTTAGCCGAAGACGCCGACTCAACATTACAATGACATTATTTTGCGCAGCTGATTAATATGGCAATCTTTGAGCACTTGATTTAAAAAAATGTTTTTTGCTTCTTTTGATGGTACCGTAAATGTAAGTAGTGTAAAGGCCTGGCCTCTTTTATAACTGCTCACATCATTGTCTTCATCCTCATAATTATCATCAAATCTTTATCATCATCACTAACATAATCAACAGCATCAATATCTCGATGGGCCAAAATATGTCCCATAGGGCTCGTAGAATATACTTGCGTTTCGTTCTATCTTGGGAAATCGTTAGGATAATATGGATGGAATCCAGCCAACCACGTTTAGCATCTACCGTTCCTTTTTTTAATTAAAATTCGTGTTTTGTTTTTTTAAATTTATTGGACGTTCTTATGCTTTTGATCCATCTATTTTGATATATTGTATACAAATCTATAGCCACGGTGATATACTTTAAAAACGAACCACCTGTATAATTCACGGACAAAATGTGAAATGTAAACAGAAGTGTTTACAAGTTTATATATTTGGAATCGTTATTCATATCCTTTTGAACTCATGCTGGCAATTAATGTGTACTCTTGTTTGTTTTTTTTTTTTTAAATTAAATTCTTTGCATTCTGTACAGACAAGGGAGACAACCAAAAGTGCAGACAATTTTAAAAAAAAACAACCTTTGCACAAGCTCAGTGTGCGGTATGTCGACCGTGTGCTTGCCAAACAGCTTGGCAATGAATGCACGTGGAAGGCACATCATTCTGCCAGTTTAGTCCATCTGACCTGTTGCTCTGACCTGCTGACAATGTCTGTAAGTTTGGCCCACATAAGGTCGGCTAACGGCCTATGCCTTAGTCTTCACATGACTGTCGTTCGTTTTAATTATCATGCTGTCATACCTATGTGGGATGCAATTTTTCGTTATTTGAAGCCCTGCTCTGGCTCTTGCCAGTGTCCGCAGTATAGCCCGCCCATAAATATGGTCTAACGGCTGAACGCGGTTTCTAGGACCTCTCCACGGGTGATCCTCATCCACATGGTGGCACTTTGTGTCCTCAGGTGTTTATCGCTTGTGTGATGTCCTGGTGGGGTAACAGAAAATAGATAAATCTCATAATCACTAAATCCTCGACTGTCATTTAGCAGACAGTCACAGATCAATAAAATGGACCCATGGAATTAATTATCAAGCTAACATTTGTATAAAGAAAAATAAATGGCATAACTATAAAAATTAAAATAATTAAGAGACGTCCCGTGTATATTCACTATCGCTGTTTCTGTTCGACTGGCTGGAGAAAACTTGTCCTTAGGCCATTCGGCACAAAATGTTTGATTCCAAACAAGTCCTACATGAAAACAATGGAAGTTACATGCCACATCTTTCAGAAAACGACTGGTAACGACGTATTGATATTGTAAGACCGTGACGCAGGTTGGTCATATTTTTGTTATTTTGAAGCCCCATCCTGGTTGTTGCCGGGGGCCCTAATATAACCCAACGGTTAAACGAGGTGATCCTCATCCGAATGGTGGCACTTTGTATCAGCGGCTGCGTATCGATCTGTGTAGTGTCCTGGTGGGGTGAAAGGTCAGTCAATCAGTCAGCTCACAGACCATTGTCAGAATAATGACTTACCGGAACGTTTTACTATGCTCGGTGCAAACATAGCGCAAGGTGGCTATTATTCATGCTTTCTCACCTGTGACACGGACACGTAATCTTGGGAAGTAAAGGTGGCCGACCTGATTCTGACCTCATCACACACCATGTTCCGATGGGTCTACACAATATAGGTCAAGGTCTCAAACATTCAACTACAGTTTCATGACGAATGAAAGAAAGAGTGGTTCTCATAACTTGTGATGGACGAATGAGATCTAGCTCTTTATGCCCTTGACACCTATAGACGTTTAAAGGGGTCGTTTACTTTACTTACAGGGACCGTGATAGGTTGAGAAACATAAATGTCTTAGCCACAAAATCCCACATGCTCGCTAACATACATACACGCATATATACACACACAAATCATATATAAACGTCTCCCCTTTTCCCAAGAAACATGTTAGCTGTTCTAAGATGTGAAAGGCCGTGCCCTGAATTAGTGTGTACACTGTGCCTTAGTTACCTGTTTGTTAACATATTTTTTTTTTTTACAACATCGCGCTGCAGTATTTTTTTCTATTGACGAATAAGGCGTAAAATGAGATCGTACTGGTTCATGGGATGTAGTAAACTGTAAATCTGTGAATGAAATAGCCAGCTGAGCTGTTCGTTTATCGCTGGCCAGATGCTATTGTTAGAGACTTGCGTCTGCCTGGGCTGTGCTGTAGGGAGATGCTTTGCCTAGTCGATAGGCCTGAACACTGCTTCATTTTTTCACCTGTGTCGGTTATAAACTGCCAGTAAAACACGTGTAAATCCGTACAATGATCTATTATGAAAACATCTGGACTGCCTATAGGACAAATTTTAAGTGCAGTGTAGGAGAGGTGTGGTCGGGGGGGGGGGGGGGGGGGATTTAGGAACGCCGTGCTATTGCAGACGCCGCAAAATATGCTAGTTCATTTTCGTCAGGACTGGATTTGGAAGAGCTTCTATCTTCTTACAGGGAATTCGAACCCGGATTTCTTCAATTTGACCAGTCAGCCAGCCTTACTCAGAAAATAGAATGCAAGGTCTCTACTAATATTTGCTGTCTCTTGACATTCTTGTGGCGCTGGTCGTTATATCTACTCGCAGCCTACTGTCTGGTGTACTGCCAATCATTTCTAAAGCAGATCTTTCTCTGTGACATTCTGACATACTAACATCTTCGCTTTTTTGTCTTCATCTGCATCCTTCGTTCTCTAAATTTATAGTTGTCACTATGTACGTCAGATTTCCACTTTATCACACAAAGAATACCTTGTTCTGTTTCTTCTTCGCGTTCACTGTTTGTAAACTCCGGCGGAGATCTGGGTATTCATCCATCTCTGGACTTTAGTCTTATTCCAGAACTTGAGAGTTGCGTGGACAGCCTTTTCATAAAACTTATCTGTGTGCAGACTCTTGGTTCCTTGCCTCTCATGCAGATGTACTCCAACTTTTAAGAATGCCCCCTAGCTTGTTGACTTTTACGACATGCTTGTTGGCGATGCAGTGGGTCTATGCTTATTTTCCACCGCAACAGGGCCCTAGACCCCACACGGGGAACGTAAAGAAGATGAACATTCTGATTTTGATCCAGACAGCCAGTTCTTTGTGGTGGTGAATTTGTTTCACAATATCTTTTTATCTGCCATAGGTTCTCGTCATCAAAAACAATTCCATAAGGAAATTGATGAACGTTAAATGGAATTGATTCATAAAAGGCGAATTAAGAGAAGTATGTGGACAACCGCTGATGCCAACAGTTCTAAGATTGATTGACTTTCTACCCCACCAGGACATCACACAAGCGATCAACACCCGATGACACAAAGTGCCACCATGCGGATGAGGATCACCGTGGAGAGGACCCAGAAACCGCGTTCAGACAATTGGCCATTTTATGGCCTGCCTATATTGCGGCCACTGGCAAAAGCCAGAGTGGGGCTTCAAATAACAAAAAATTACGTCCTAAAAGGGACGTAAGGGTTAAACTTTTAAGACAAAAAAGGTTGGCTATATACTGGAGAAACAAGCAGACAGTCACCAAACAGGCACTTAAATGCGAAACATTTGAACTGAGTCGGAAAAACAAAACGCCCACAAGAACGTTGATGAGAGAGACCAAAGGTGCCGGGCTGTTTATCGTTTTCTCAGTTTAAAGATAAATGCGAAAGACCGCTTTCATGCCATTGGCTCATGACGCAATGTCGCAATTCGAATGTATATATATATATTTAAATATATATATATATATATATATATATATATATATGTGTGTGTGTGTGTGTGTGCGCGCGTGCGCGCGCGCGTGCGTGTGTGCGTGCGTGCGTGCGTGCGCGCGCGTGTGTGTGTGTGTGTGTTTTTTTAAACTGTTGATAAAACAAAAAGCCAAGTTCAGTT